CACAAACCTGATTTTGATCTTTGGAACCCATGGGAAGGTAAAAGGAGAGAACTGATTACTGAAAGTTGTCCTCTGACCTCTACATGAGAGATGTGGCATATGTTTTCCACCAGTAATGATAAAATGAATAAATTATATTAAGAATCTGAAGCTATTTAAAAATCATTTCAAAAGACTGGTTTTAAAAAAAGACTCTTAACTAGCTGCCAGCAGCTTGGATTTGAAGATGTGCACTGGTGTATGGTACCTGAAGCTCAGGTCTGCACTATTCTACAGCAGGATTAGGGCCATCAGCCAAGCACTTGTAAATCAGGGATGCCCAACCACAGTGCATACCATCTTCTGCTCGGCCTCACTCAAACAGTGGGGCTCAGAAAGTGGAAAGTGGCTGAGTAGATAGCTTAAGGGCAGGGGTGGGATGGAAGAGAGGAAGGAAGGGAGGGAGGGAGGGAGGGAGGAAGGAAGGAAGGACGGAAGGAAGGAAGGAAGCAGAAGCAGAGGGGAGGACAGAGAAAAAGAAAAAGTCCTTGCTGGAAGGAGACACCATGAATAATCTCAGTGTACCAGATACAACTGGCAGGCACCTATGACGAGAATGAATCCTGCCTCCCACCTCATGTGCTCCTAGTTGAAGGAAGATGGGCAAAAACTTACTGGTATTTTATTCTGTGAAGAAAGCTGACTTCACAGAAAACAAACACAAAGTCGGTGGTGTTGACGTGGTGTTACCAAGTTACAATGCAGAACACAAGTGACTTTTGCGGAAAACAAAAATCCAACAACACAGATAAAGACCTTTGTGAAAAAAAGGAAAGACAAGTTCTGTGGGCTTCCCAGGTGATGTGTCATGGGATATGAGATTTTAGAGACAACATTCCAGGAATAACTATGATTTAAACTGTTGTCTGGAAGGTGGGTGGGTTCCACACCAGTGCTGGAAGTTTACAAGGCAATTGTGATTTGAAAAACAAAACAATTCCAGCACAGGCACAGGCAGGTGGATCTCTGTGAGTTCGAGGACAGCCTGGTCTACAGAGCGAGTTCCAGGACAGCCTCCAAAACAATACAGAGAAACCCTGTCTCAAAAAACAAACAAAACAAAAACAAAAAAAAACAAAACAAAACAAAACAAGAATTAACACAGGCTTATTATTTAAAATTGGAGTTTGGGATAGCTGCTTGAATACCCCTGGCCAATAAATTTACTTGGCCCTAAAAGGTTATAATTTACAAAAACTCTATTAATGATAAGGAAATACGTTAAACTGGACATCAGGTCTCTGGAGAGATTATAGGCCCAGAGACTGGCTGGGGCTGGAACTCTTTTCAGGGAATTAACTTCCTCACAGCTGCAGTTTTGTTATTGCTAATAACTGAGCAGGGACCTCGGCATACTGCAGACTGGGAGGGGCTGCTGGGGCTGTAATCCCACCAGCACTAACCAAAATAAAACCAGCCATGTGACCCTCGGCTTCAGAAAAGGGCACTGTGTAATTAGTCTTTTCTCCCCATGTTCAGAATGTGAACACTCCCCCACAGAGAAGCCTTATTTTGACTTGTTCCCAGGGTGCTTAGAAATTTACCCCCAACCAAGCTTACCATTGAAATTGGTTCTTGTGTTAAAATCCAATTTATTTCCCCTGAATGGCAAAGGTGGAAAAAAGGGTCTGGAGCCAAAGAAAGTACTTTATATTACGCTCAGGACATTTTCACAGCTGAGAAAGGAAAGAATGTGCTTGCTTCGATTCCTTTCTCTCCTGCAACCTCACCTTCTCCTTACAACCCCCATCAGGCAGCAAAGGATGCCTTTCCTACTCTGTTTATCAATATGTCTTTTATATGGATTGGTTCACCAACCCATAACTATCAAGGTGACATTCTGGGACATTACTCTCTCCTGGGCACAATTAGGTGATATGCATAACTATGTCCGAACAGACCATTAGTGAACATTTCTTAAATACACAGCATGGATAGACATTTGTGTGCATATGTAATACACCTGTAGGACAGTGGTTCTTAACCTGCAGGTCATGACCCATTTGGGGGTTGCATATCAGATATTTATATTACAATTTATAACTAGCAAACCTACAGCTATGAAGTAGCAACAAAATTAATTTTATGGTTGGGAGTCACCACAAAAAGGCTCACAGCATTAGGAAGGTTGAGGACAGCTGCTGTAGGGAAGTTTAAGCCTGCCTGCCTTTATCTATCTGTCTGTCTATCTATCTATCATCTATCTATCTATCTATCATCTATCTATCTATCTATATCTATATCTATTTTGGGGAGACAGAGTCTCACTATGTAGCTCTGGCTGTCCTGGAACTCACTCTGCAGACTAGGATGGCCTTGAACTCACAGAGTCCTGCCTCTGCCTCCTGAGTGCTGGGATTAAAGATGTGGAATACCACATCCAGCTAAATCCATAGTTCAGTTTTCAAAAACTTCCCCCTTTTAACTGTATACTACAGGACTGGGGATGCGGGTTCAGGGTCAGGGTGCTTGCTTAGCATGTGCAAGGCTCTCAATTCAATTCCAGAAGTGCAAATAAACAGTGTACAGTTCAGTGGGTGCTTTATGTGGTTTTGTTTCTTTCTTTGAGATCATATAGATCCCTCTGCTTCCCGAGTGCTGGGATTAAAAGTGTGCACTGCCACACCTCACAGATTTTTTTGTTTGTTATAGGCAGAGATACTTTTTGTGATTCAGCTTTCATGCATCCCAAATTGTCCTTGAGCATATAATCTAAGCATAACACTGAGCTTCTGGTCTGCCTTCCTATATTTCCTGAGTGCTTGGATTACAGATGTGCACAGCTTTACTTGGTTTCTATGGAACTGACTGGGATTGAACCTAGGACTTTTTACATGCCATCAAGCACTGTGCCAACTGAGCTGCAGTCCCAGGTCCAATTCGGTAGTTTTTTTAAGTATATTTGTATTCATCACTACTTAATTTTAAGCTATTTCATACCTAGACCTTAGCAGCCACTATAGAACTTTCTATTGCTATGGGTTTGCCTATTTAAAAGTTTCATAAAAATGTAACTGTACAGCACATGGTCTCTGGTGTCTGGCATCTTTCAGTTAGCCCAGAACTTACATGGTTTGTTCATATTTTAGTACATATGATTTAATCCCTTCTTATCATTTATCAATACTACCCCATCATTATGATGGACAGAGAAACACAGAGTAGGAGACCCAGTGTGCTTTTCTGGCCTTCATGTGTACATACACATGCTCATACAATTTATGCATTGCATGATTTTATATACAATTTATACATTGATCAGCTACTGGACATTGTATGGTTTTCTCGCCTTGCTTATTTTGACTATGAGCACACATGTGCAAATTTTGTATAAATGTGTTTTCTGGCCTATATAGAACTCTGTCTAACCTCTGAGGAACTACCGACCTGTTTTCAAATGACACTGTGCCATCCTAGAGGGTGTGAAGTTCTATCTTGCTGTGGTTTTCATTTGGTTTCCCCCAATGGCTAATGATATTGAGCATCTTTCATGTATTTATTAGTCATCTCTGTATCTTCTTTGAAATCAAATGTCTATTTAAATTTTTATCTTAAAAATAAGCTATATTTTTCAATTACTGAGCTATATGAATTTTTTCACATAGTCTGGATACTAGTCCCATATATGTATGAATATATATATATATATATATATATATCATGTTTCTCTCTCTTTTTTCTTCTTTTCTCCTCCACTTAAGAATGTACTAGGAAGAACCGTAGCAGTGAAAGGTGGTACCGTGATTTGTTTCCTTCCTCATCCACAGTTGTCTCAAACACTATGGAAATGGTTATGGTATAGGCTGTAAGAAAGTACTATGAGCTCATGGACCAGTAGGACTAACATAGTATAAATGGCCATCATAGCAAAAGCCATCTACAGATTCAATGCAGTCCCCAGCAAAATTGAAAGAACAATACTCAGTTTCATATAGAAAAACAAAACAACCCAGAATATCTAAAATAATCATGTACAATAAAAGAACTTCTGGAGACATCACCATTTCTGATTTCAAGCTCTACTACAGAACTATAGTAATAAAAACAGTATGGTGCTGGCATAAAAACAGACAGCTGGATCAATGGAATTGAGTCACAGACCCAAACATGAATCCACACACCTATGAACACCTGATTTTTTTTGAGAAAGAAGCTAAAATTATAAGATGGAAAAAAGAAAGCATCCTCAACAAATGTTGCTGGCATAACAGGATGTCAGCATGTAGAAGAGCGCAAATTGATCCATATCTATCACTCTGCACACAACTCAAGTCCAAGTGGATCAAAGACCTCAACATAAATCCCGATACACAGGGAGGGGAGAAGCTGGGAATACATGTCCTTGTGAAACTCCTCAGTTCTTATTGAAATTATAAAAATAAATAATAAAAGTGCAGAGATGTGTCCACTATTTATCACCCATGCACTCCATTCGTGGGTGCTTTCATGTGAACATTGGTTCAGGCAATTCAATGAGAAGAAGAGCATTTGTGAAGAGGCTTGTATGAAGAACGGACTTCTGTAAGCATGCTACATGAACGTTCGTAGATACCATGGTAGTTCATTTGACTAGAATTGGAGGTGTGAATGTGAGTTTTCTAGAGCAAGTTTGTTACAGTGGGAAGGTCTACTCTACGTGTGAGCGGCACCGCCCATGAGCGGGGTTCCAGACTGAATAAAAAGAACAACGGGTACAGCAACATTCATCCTGCTCCGCTTCCTGACTGAATTCAATGTGCCCAGCCTCAGAAGCATCTGCTGCCGTGACTTCCTGCCATGATCGATTGTGCCTTCCAGCCGTAAGCCTGAATCAACCCCACTCCCGTCAGCTGCTTTGTCAAATAAGGGTCACAACGACAAGGAAAATAAGGGATAGATGCTGCCACCTCAGCTTCATAGCCAATTCTATTAACTCCTGGTGCTTCCTAGAAAGAGTCACAGAAGAGTAGAAACACACTTACGCTCTGGCTTTAATTGTCCAAGGATGGAGTTCTCGCCTCTGCACATGGTTCTGAAAACATGGGAAGGCATAGTTAGGGAGGTGCCAACTACCAAGGCTAACAGCAATCGCTGTGATTGTAACCCTAACCCAGGCGAAAATGGGGCAAGCACTTTCATGAGAAAATGCTATGCCTATTTTCAAAAATTAAAACTGCAGTAGGATTTTTCTGCATATTACTGAAAGGACAGTTATTTTGATGAGAATCAATGGAAGAGCTATAAAAGTGGTATCAGATTTCTGAAAGAGAGATGCGCTATGAGGGAACTTTCCCTTAGAAAATTTTGGGACAGCAAAGATAAGATTTAGGAGTCTTCACAGATAAGAATGCTCATAAAATCATCCCGCTTTCTGGGGTGAAAAGGACAAACTCTCATCAGCGCATCAAGAAGCAGACTATTATAAGGTCTAAATTTATTATAAAGTCTGAACGATCATAAAAATAACCCTTCTACTGGGTTGTTTCCATCAAGCCATAAAAAAACTGTAAGTGGGAAAGATGAACTTTCAATAACTGGCTCTACTGATGATTTTTTGTTCCACAAGACTGTCAAATATCGATGACTCTAAATTATGGAAAAGCAAGGAGCCCTGAGGCTGTCCCTCTCCTAGGAGTTATTACAGTTACAGGGAGGGAGACATTTTCAGTGGTACGGTCTTGGAAGACACTCAAACTTCCACACACCACCTTTCATGTATGCTCCTGTAAACACTAGAAGAATTCACTGGTTCATGAAAGAGAGAGAGGAGAGACGAAAGGAAGGAAAACATGAGAGACTAGTTGGGAAGAGGTAGGGAATGGTCTGAGTGAGGGGACAAAAGAGAATAAAAGGGAATGGATATGATTAAAATTGCATGCACATAAGAAAAAATTATAATAAAAACTGATTATAATTAGTATATGCTAATAAGAACTTTAAAAATTAAAATTAAAAATATTTGAGCTGGATGATAATAAGTATGTATATTAAAAAGAAAAAAATCAAAATTCTGTGTTCTATCTGCCTGTTGTATAAATGTAATTAAAAATATAGCCATGCTTGTAAAGGATAATATTATTAAAGTCTACACCAGCAAATAGAGATGTTTTGTATAACAAAAGGTTTGGGTTGCTGGACAACAAGCAGCCAAATGTGTGTTTCATTCAGCTGGTTTAAAATCAAACAGTCATAGGAAATACTCACAATTGATATTATTCCAAAAGTAATATCTGAATTGCCAAGAAAGCAGACAGAGAACAATTAAACATCATGACAAGTGCTCAGAAAAACATTTTCAGCTATGTACTTAGATAACATTAGATATCAACCCATCTTCAGTACAAGTACATAGAAAAAAGGTATTCACTGTAACCAGCTGAATTCATCCTTGGGATAACAGCTTCAGCACCAATATTTACTTAAATATTAAAATAAATCCTGGCAGATATACAGATACAAGTTGGAAGAGTCAGTGGAAAAAAAGAAACCAGCTGCTGGGCATGGTGGTACATGCCTTTAATCCCATGCATGAAGACCTTGGTTCATCCCCAGCACCACAAACTAGGCATGGTGGCACACACTTACATCACAGCCCTTGGGAGGCAGAGGCAGGAAGATCAGACTTTCAGAGTCATCCTCAGCTACAAGGAGTTCAAATCCAGTCTGGGTCATATGAGGCTTAGTATCAAACATTGCCACAATCCCACCAAATGCTGCCCTTAAAGGAGTTGTCAGAAGCAGTTGGACTACCCTGAAGCCAAGCATGGCGTATGTAACCCTCTATTAGAGTGTGACCAAGGCCCAGAGCCCTTCTCCACTTGGTTCTCTGTAAAGTCTCCTTCTCCACTCCCAACCAAAGAGGATGACTGGAAAAGTGTAAAACTTATAAAGAGGTATTCTGGTGGTCATCTCTACTCTGTCTAACTGAATGCACCCAAATTGTGTCATGTTAGCACTTATTTTCTTGTTTTAGTTTTCCAAACTTACTGAAAAGAGTGAACACATTATTAGTATAAAGATATTTTTCATTATTATGTATCAAAAATTAATATAAAAGAGACAGAGGTAGGAGTAACACTGAAATTCAAAGCCAGCCTTGACCACACAACAAGTTCCAGGCCTATATAGTGAGACCCAGGAGAGTAGAATAAAAGAGAGAGAGGGTGGGGCTAGGGAGAGAGAGAAGAGAGAGGGAGAGATGGAGACAGAGAAAGGAGAGGGAGAGCTTCATCATGTATGACTGTGACATTTGAATTTTATCACTTAGCAAATACTAAGGTGCAGAAATCCCGCAGCTCCCTTCCCAGGATTCCATGCATGATGCAAAGATCATGAGTACTTGCAGAGCACCTGTAGTTGAAGTGCATTATCGCCTGTAGAGCGTTCCCTCCACCTGTGGAGATGTCACCTTCGAATCCTGGCAGCAGTGGTATCACAATGTACACCCGGTATCTCTGGCCTTCCCTGCAAAAGCCATGGGCACAGAAATTCACAAACAGAAAAAAAAGTACCAGTTACATCACCAGCCAAGCAGGTCATGGGGCTTTGTAGACAACATGAGTGCTTCCACACAACCTCCTATGCTCAGCTTGGATGGCTCTTGGATCCCAGCTAGCACTGTGGAGTGTTATACTGAGCAATAAACTCAATTTGGCAGTAGAGTGGAATTGTGTCCACTTTTTCTTCCATACTCATAGTATTTAGCAGGACAGAAGGTGATTTAAAATAAATCTTGCTGAATCCCTCAGAAGAAGGATAGGAAGTGACTTAGAACAAAGTTTTAGGAAAAGGTGCTATCACAATGATATAACTTTAAATAAGATTCTATTTTATTTAACTATACGAATCCATATGTGTAGATATAGATAGGTAGACATATAAAACAGGTTACAGCAACAGGGATTCAGTCCACAGCTTGGCAAGTTGTAAGCATCCCATTTATAACTGGGGGGTTCCCAGGGCCCACGTCTTAGAAGCAAACACACAGGATTTGGTATACTTTCCAAACTGAGTCATCATTGTTTAGGAATTCTAAAGGTCCAGCCACAGAATGTTACCAGGGATTCTTCAAGAATTCGGTGTTAATTTTTATTTCATTTTTGAAACATATACGTGTGTGCGCGCACACACGCTCACGCACGCGCATACACATGTGTGTACATGTGCCCACAGGTCAGAGAACAACTCCGTTGTTTTTCTACCATGTGAGTCCTGGGGATCAAACTCAGTGTCAGTCTTGGCAGCAAGCACCTTCACTGGCTGGGTCACCTCAGTGGCCCTTATTTTATTTTTAAAAAATTATTATTGCATGCATGCGGCATGAGCACACGTAAGCTACAGCCAATGTATGGAGGTCAGAGAACAACCTTATGCAGTTGGTTCTGTCCTTCCATTGTTACATGTGTTCCAGGGATTGAACTTAGGTCAGCAGGCTTGGTGGCAAGCTCCTTTATCCACTGAGCCAGCCCCAACCTGTATTCATTTTTAAATCGCCAGCACATATAACGCAATATCTTCGGGCCACCTTTTAAAGGAAAACGAAGCTCCTTAAAGATAGATGTAACAATAGAAGAAAATATAGCTCATTTGATGTGTATTCAGAAACTCAGAATATTATACTAATAGGCACTTGCAATCTTTTGACCCTGGGGCAATACATTGTCATCTCCAAAGGTCATGCTGGAGAATGGTTCAATGGAGCCAGGGAAACCTCTCACGATGCTTTGTCTAAGTTTAACATGTTGCATCAGGCTGTGTGTGTAGCTGTCCTTGGCCACAGGTTTGATGGCCCATGTGGCAGCACTTACTGTGAGAGTCCCAGACGGCTAAGGCCTCCAGGATTTTTTGTAGAGCAACAAGAAGAGAAAGTGTGGAAATGAATGTGCAAGTAGTTGCTTGAGTATACTGTCTTTCACTGCTAGCTAATTCTCGTGTGCCGTCTTGCTTAAACATTTTATAGCACCCAATTGTCAGAGCAAGCTTATCTTACGAACAGCACAGTGTCCCTGCCCAGGAGATTTTTCACTACTCCGATGGCTCAGATCTGACTCCTGGGCCTGAATGCCCATGTATTCAGGGCAGTGTGTGACAGAAGTTGACTGTCAAGGCACTGCAGTGTGGAGACTCAGTTTGGCATTTGAAGTAGGCTGCTGTAATGTCAAGGATTAATCACTAGATGGCAACCATAGATTGGTTTGGAAAGAATACAAAGAAACTGAGCAGCCCTAGTTATCATTGGCTGGATTAGGGGAGAAGGCACAGTCTTTAAATGGTAAACAGGAAGGGGGAAAAGAGCAGGAAGTCCTAAGCCGTTTTCCCACAGCAGCATTTAAAAGTTCAGACGCACGCAAACAGAGAGTTAAGGACCAAGGACCGTATCATTTGGCCTCCACTGCTTTTCTAGCTAAAATCACATCCAGTGAGATCCCCACAATCACCCAGTGATGCCCACTGTGCCTCACCCCTCCCCTGAGAAGCATGACTCCTCAGCTCCTAACCCAGAATGGTCTTCACTTCTAGGTCACCTTCATCAGTGAGGTCCCCGGACGCGCAGTCAGAACCGGGTCACACTGGCCTCCGCTTTCCCACAGCCAGGAAGTTGACCCATAGGCTCTGTGCCTCACTCCATAATGACACACTCACGGCCTGGGCTGAGGGCTGACCTGCTCCAGCAAACATGGTGGATTGAGTGTTCACATGCATTTCTATTTTAGGCAGCACTCAGTCAAGTCCCCGCGCTCTCAGTGAGCACTGTCGGCTGGAGAGGGCGAGGTCAGGTTGGAAGAATGTTTCAGTGGAGAATGGGTCAAACCACATGATGCTTTTTTCTTTAATTACATTTCATTTGAATTTTCATTATGGTAAATATATAAAATGAAAAAGTGGGCATTTTGGCCATTGCAAGTATATGATTCTTTATCAAGAATTGTGTTCATAATTTTATGTGACTACTTTCCCTATTCAAAGCTTCTCATCATTGTAGGTACAAATTTCCTTTCCCAGAGTCCCTGGTGATCTTTAGGGACTTTCTGTTTTATGAATTGCCTGTCTGGATTTTACATAAGCGCTCTTGGGGTTTAACCTATTTTTCTTAGCATAGTACCCTCAAGGTTCATCCACACAATGGCAAGTGTCAGAGCTCCTTCTTCTTTGTGGCTGGATAGCACTCTGTGTTGTGTATGCACTTTCATCTGCTGGTGGGCAGTCGGCTTGCCTTTGCCTTCTGGCTATTGGGAATAAAGCTGCTATCAATACTGTATTACTAGGCAGAGCATAGTGGTACATACCTTTAATTATGGCGCTCAGAGGCAGGCCCATGTCTGGGAGTTCCAGGCTGGGCTCGTCTACATAGTGAGTTCTAAGTGAGCTAGGGCAATAGAGTAAGACTCACTCCAAAAAACAAACAAAAACACCAAAATGAAAACAGAGTCCAGTAGTTAGTGTTGGTATATTGTGTCTGTCTGACTCATTTTCAGTCCTTTTGGGTACATACTCAAGAATGGAAACACTGAGTCATATGGTTATTCTATGCTTAGTACTCCCAGGAACCAAAAAATAAATAAGACTTTCCAGTGAGAAATAGAGTGCTAAATCTAAGAGGATTATACAGAGAAAGAAATAAAACCTTTCTTTTGTCCCCACGGTCCTGTAGACACAGTTCATGACCTACACACATATATGTATTCCTCTCTTCCACACAAGGCCATAATGCTGTTTTATTTTTATCACTTAACAGTACATCTCCGTATACTTCCACATGAGAACACAGCAGGGGCAGGGCAGTCTACTGCTTTTCTGACCCTTAATGTCTAAATCTCCACTCGAGTGACAGGAACTTAAAGTGTCTGACTTTTTTAAAGTATGTGAAACAATTATATATATATATATATACATACATACATATATACACATATATGTATATATACAATATATTATATATATATATATTGTGCAACATAAATCACTGTCACTCTTGAAGGTCCAGTCTTGGTGATGTTTGTAGGAAATGGCTTCCTGTGGTCCTTGAGGTTTTTTATAATGAAAAGGCCACTTTAAAAGAGAGCCCATGGGCCGGGCAGGGGTGGCGCACGCCTTTAATCCCAGCACTCGGAAGGCAGAGGCAGGAGGATCTCTGTGAGTTCGAGGCCAGGCTGGACCGAAAGCCTCCACTACAGAGAAACCCTGTCTCGTAAAACCAAAAAAAAAAAAGAGAGAGAGAGAGACCATGGGAAGACTGAGACCTGGCCCATGAGTGGAGAGCCCACAGAAGGACTGAGACGAGGTCTATGAAAATCCTGCAAAGCATCTTTGCAGCCTGTACTCTGTGAGCGTCTACGTCACTTCTGGACCCTCATCCCTATGGAAGCCTTTTGTTGCTGATGGTGGCTCTTAGCTTCCTGGATAATGAAAATGTTAATGTTCCACAAACTAGCAGAAACGACATGTTTCACTGTGGTTGATAAAGGGGCTCTGGAATTTCACCTGTAAGGTTGAAGTTGCACAGGAGCCAATGAAGAGAAAAGCCTGTGTGTCACTATGTCCAGTTTGTGGAGTTTCAGCCGCTAAGGTTCCAGTCTCTCTGGAAACATGGTACCCTCAGAGTATCAGCAGTCATGGGGGGGGGGCGACCCCTTACATACAAAGTGACTTGTGTTTAAAAGCAATGTGAGAGCTGATGGCCAACAAGCCGTGAGTAATGACCTGTCAAACGGGTAGTTGCTTTCTCCGCTTGAGTTAAGATATAATTTTATAAAGTGACATCTTCAAGGGTCTTGTTAAAATGAGTTTTTCTTTTAAAATTCATGAGCTCTTATGGCAATGTGACATCTAAGAGCTAAACAATGGAAATAAGTGTTCAACAATAGAAAGACAACTAAGTTCTGTTATAGCTTCTGGAACTGCTTAATAGCAAACTATCTCAGGTGTAAAATGGCCCCAAGCAAAGCAATAAGAGAACACAAATATGGCGGCTAGTCTGGAGATGCCCAATCAACTCCCTTGCATGTGCTTACTTCCTTCCTTGCTTGGAGTTTGGAACTATGAAGCAGGCATTGTTCTTAGGGCGCCAATGTAGAAAGGAACCAGGGCACAAGGATGTGTGCTTTCAGAATGGGGGAGCTTGACAAAGACCAGATAGCTGAGGCAGGGGGATTAAAAAGAAAGAGCTGGGGCTGGAGAGGTGGTTCAGGGGGGAGGAGTATGCATTACACCTCTTGAGTTCCAGAACCCAATCCAGATAGAGGCTCACAACAGCCTGTAACTCCAGTTCCAGAAAATCCCTCGCCCTCTTCTGGGCTCTGCAGGAACTGCACTCATGTACCAATCCCTACACACATGTACATAGAAGGTCTCGCACAAATGGAAGGTCTTGCTGGGACAGTGGTGCTCACTCCTTTAATTCCAGCACTCAGTAGGCAGAGGCAGGCAGATCTCTGAGTTCAAGGCCAGCCTAGTCTACAGAGTGA